ACCTTGTTGATCCCTATCTCGACATTTGCTCTGTGGAAGTGCCCGCCTTGTTTACAGAAAACTTTGACTGGCAACGTCTTCGCAGCGACTTTGTGCACGGCATCTTGACATCTGATATCTTGGGCAAGACCATCTACACCAACCTTGTGTTTGAGCCCTATGTCGCCCGTGTCCAAAACGAACAACTGTACAGCACCACCAGCAACCATATTCTCAACCGCTGGGCATTCCCCGTTGTGCCTGAAACCAACTTGAGAGCAGGCGATGATTATGAATTCGTGAGAGGAAACATCTACAAATCCATGAATGTCGTATTATCGAGGTCCTGTATCATTGACGAGAATGTGCAGATTGGGTCTGGCACACGCATTGGAGAAAACACCCGCATTGGAAACTCCATCATTGGAAAGAACTGTACCATTGGCGACAATGTGGTTCTGGAGGGCGCTTTTCTGTGGGATAATGTCACTATTGGCGATAACTGTACAGTCGAGAAGAGCATCATTGCCAACAATGCCAACATTCTGGAAAATACCACTATTGCTCAAGGATGTCTTGTGTCGCTTGGTGTCACGCTCGGCCCTGAAGCCCACATTCCCAAATACTCTAGACTGAGTCTTTTGCCTCAACCCAAGAACAGCATGTTTGATGAAAGCAGCGACGAGGAAGACGACGAGGAGGAGCGTCAACAAGTCCTCACAGGCGATCACCCCACAGTCTACTTCTGGTCTCTGCAGTCTGACGACGACGATGTGGACATTAGAAATGTGAAGCTGGGATCTTTGGCTTACGACATGGCAGATCTTGTTCTCAAGGATGGAGATATCACTGACAGTGCAAGCGAAGTGGGAGAATCCGACGACGACGACTCAGACATTGGATCATTGAACGGATCATGGGCACTTGAAAACAGCATGGCCCGCAAGACTGAAGAATTCAAGAAGGAAATCGCACAAACCATTGAGCGCTCTCTGGACGAGAACCACACTGTATATACTGCTGCATTAGAAGTTACCGGTTTGCGTATGTCCAGCAACGGTTCCTACACTGACATTCGTGAGGTTATGATCCCCATTGTGATGGACCATATTGACCGCAGCAATCCTGTTGCAAGCATGAAGACTGTGCTGACCAAATGGGCGCCTCTCGTTGGCAAGATGACACATTTGCCAGAAGACCAACTGCATGTTTTACAAGTCTTGCAAAAGCACTGCACATCGCAAGAATACTTGGGCAAATTATTCTTGGGCGCCTTACAACTGTTCTACAATGCCGACATTCTGGAAGAAGAAGCAATCAGAAGATGGTACAACACGGACTTGTCAAAGGCAACCCCTGCAGAAGCCAAGTTAAGAGAGAAGGCTACCAAGTTCATTGAATGGTTAGACGAAGCAGAGGAGGAGTCAGAAGAGGAGGAGGACAGCGATGAAGAGTAGTAGTAAATTATGTAATAAAGCTGGCATCAATGCAGATTGACTGCCTTATGTTCAATAAGCCACTGTAATATTTTTTATCTGTTTTTCGATATTGAACATTTCCACTTGCTTTCAACTGTCAACTCCAACTTTTTTCATCACACAACATGGCAACTGAATCTCCTGCTAATATCATCGGTTCACTCACCTTCTGCCCCGAGTGCGGTAACCTTTTGGATATGGCAGGTGGCGACGACGATATTTTATTATGTAATCAATGTAGTTGTGCATTCAGAACTGCCGGTGTAGAGGCCACAGAAGTCATCACCACTTCATCTGAGCGCTCTTTCCAGTCAGCCCTGAAGTCCAAGCGTCATTTAGTCCAACAAAGCAAGGAAAACAAGCAGGCCAGAGCTATTGTAAGTGCTGTTGAGTGACATTGGCGTACATAGGCTAACATGTGCTTTGATGCTAGATCAAGGAAAAATGTCCCTCTTGTGGCCATCATGAAATGGAATATCACACCATGCAATTGCGTTCTGCTGATGAAGGTCAAACAGTCTTTTATAACTGTAAGAAATGCGGGTAAGTTTTGTTGAGAAGGGCTTCATAGCATTTGACTTAATTTTCATGCTTTTTTTTATAGTTACAAATACTCTGTCAACAATTAGATTTTTATTTTATTCTCTCTTTCCCCTTTTCCTTTTGTAAATTTGCATATCCCCCACTACAACACACACACACACTACTATTTCAATCTTTGATCATTGATTAAATATTAATTACAGCACACACGCACACACACGATGTTTGAATGTGATTTTTGTGGAAGGGCTTTGACTGAATGGGATTACATGACAGAATGTGGCCATCTTGTATGTGCAGACAGCTGTTACGACGAAAACGAGCAAATGTGTCCTATCTGCAAAAAGAGATCCAAGTTTGCATGCATAGGTGACAAGGTAAACGGTAGATGGAGAGAGAGAGAGTGGAGCGTGGTATGTTGATGCAAGATTTCAAGGTACCGAGAAATGGCATGGGATTTCTGACATCGACGAGGAATTTATTCAATAATGCTGAGAAGATTATTGAGGTACACTGCTGCCCTGTTGATATTGTCTGCTTTTCCATGGATTGATATGTGCTCACGCCTATAGTTTCGCTTCAATGCCATGACAAACTTGATCGAGCATCTAAGATCGAAAATTGCGAAACAGGACAAGGTGATTGATCAAGCGAAGCATGAATTGAAGCAATTAAAATACTACAAAGCGCGCGTCTGCGATATGTCTGTCACGAATCAAGTTTAATAATGCAAAGTGTAGGGAAATACATGAATTGGAGCAGGAAAATGCATACCTGAGAAACAAGGTCCATCAAATGAAGCAGCTAAATCAAGAGTACTACCACCACCATGATTTTGTGTAATACATTTGTGCGTGTCACAGCTCCTCACTCATTCAAATGAATAAAAAGTGCTAATGTAATTCGTTAATTTGGTTCCTCATCTCTGATACTTTATCTTTTGGAGTAATCATGTCTTCAAAGTACTCTACTCTCCCGGATATTGTAAGTTGATGATTGCCTTATAATCAAAGCAACTCACTAATATGCACATGTGTAGGACGATCAACCAGACGTTTACGAGACGCCTGATTCAACAGACAATGTTACTAACGTTTCTTACGAAAACCAGGTACACAAGTATACCTCTAGATTCACGTTACCGTTTCTCACTGAACCCATATCACATAGTCAAGCGATGAAGACGACAATGAGAATGTGGTGAAATCCCGTGTCTCTGTCAAGGATGCTGCCAACAAGTTCAAGGGAAGCATTGTTGATTCCACTGATACTGGTATAGTTCACATTTTTGTACAGGAGAGAGGCACTTTTAACAAAATATTAGATTTCTCGGACCGTCTGACTCGTAGAAAGAAGGCCATGTATCGCACCTATGTCAAGCGTCCACCAGCCATGGAAACAAATGAATATGAAATCCTGCCCAAGAACTTGTCTTTGGATGAAACACCCTTACAAAAATTACGTCGCTTGATGTACGAAGTTCAGGAACTGAACGATGAAATGGAAAAGGCAAAAGTGAGTATTATATCTTAAACCTAGCTTGCATTGTCTGATTATTGTTGTGTGTGTAGGAACCAGCAGATGCCAAAGAAACCATTTCACAATCTGATATCCTTTCACAAATAGCCTATTTACAATCAGATCTTGTCAGAATGAATCAACAAGTAGGCGATGAAGATTTGAGTCAAAAGTCAAACTACGGCAAATCTATCGAGGACGCAAAATTACTCATCAAGCAATTGGAAGCATTCAAGAGTATACCTGCCACTACAGCATCTGATAAGAAGGAAGAGAGCGGCACAGCTGTATCAGAAAAGAGCGATAAGAATGATATGGTCACCTATGAACTTTTCTATACCCCTGAGACAGCCAAGATGCAGAAAGAGAGCAAACTGTCAGACATTGATGAACGTATTGCAAAGATTGAGAAACTTGTTGGATCAAATGCTGGTCAAGCTTTGGATGAACTGGTAAGCAAGACGTATTGAGTGATCATGGACATGTGTTCTGACAAGATGCTATAGCCACAAAACCTTGCCTCTACTTCTCTTGTCAACTCGCTCTCTAAATTGGAACAGCAAGTGCTTGTCTTGGCTCAACCCAGGCAATTGGAAATGGTTGCTAGAAGAGTCAAGGTTTTGAACAGTGATTTAGATCGATTGAACGAACTAAAGTCTGGTCGCAAGGATACTTCCGGCTTAGGATTTGGACTCTCCAGCACCATCAATCCTCAAAATACCCCTTCTGCCACTGAAGCAGCCAACAAGGATGGCAATGATAATGAGGCAAAGGTAAGGCTTCTGTGACATAGAGTAGGTAGGCCAACGTCTTGACATATTTCTGTAGATCAACAAACTATTTGCAACTCTTGAAAAAGTAGATCCACTATTGAATTTAACGCCTGCCTTGTTGACGAGACTCAAGGCATTGCAGACATTGCACACAGAGGCCGCATCGTTTGGTCAATCAGTCAAGGTTATTTCAGAAGAGCAAACAAGGATGACAGATGAATTAAAGAGCTTGACCACAACTTGTGATTTGGTAAGTTCATGTACCTAATAGAATGAACGGAATCTAACATTGATGACAACAGCTCAATCAGAGTTTGAAAGAGAATGATGAGTCAATTAACAACAACATCAAAGTTATTGATGATAGAATGACCGATCTTATCCAACGCATGACTGCATTGAGCAGTACAGATGCTTGAGCTTCATTTTACTATGCATTTGCAAATAAAGTTTTGACAACCTGGATTATACAGTGAGAGAAACTTGGTTCTTACCTGATGATACTGTAATAAAATAAAATAAAAATTGCTGGAAAATCAAGCGATGACTAGTGGATTCGCACGTCTGCTCTCTTCAAACAAAGATTGACCTTGGGCTCCTTCAATGATCGATACTAGTAAAAAAAAAAAAAGCAAACAATCCACTTCAATCCAGGAAAAAAAAAATCATATTGATTTCTATCACATATCTCTCCTTTGCAAAATGAAGATACCCCGGGTGGGATTCGAACCCACAATCTTAAGATTAGGAGTCTCACGCCCTATCCATTAGGCCACGGGGGCACGCAATCGCCGCTTGTTTTTTATGGTTTATATAGTTTAACATGGTTTTTTTTTTACTGCAACTTCTAACTGTATTATCCGTTATAACCTAGCGGTAATAAAACGGATTATATACCACTTAGCAGCAAGAAAGCAGTTAATATTTAGTTTATTGTATATTAACATACGAATTTGACTATCAAACAGATTCGTACAAGTCTGACGAAGTCGTCAGTGCGGGTGTTGGTGTTGATGAATTCGTGTTAATAAAGTTGATTGAAACAATATGAATAAGCAGTTGTCAACTGTATCTAAACGAAAGCAAAGATACTTCTTTATTACAGGGCATCTCTTGATTGAAATAGAGTAGATCCCTGGATATGACTACTACACTGAAGATGAATATATGTGTGGAACGCGAGATTAATATGTTCGGGTGTGGAATATCTGATGTAGAGCACACACATGAAGTGATGAACGTGATGTATACGCATTGAGTGGATCTTGACAGTAAAGAGTTTGGAGCATGTTGATTTGGGTGTTACCAGTGCACAGACGATGATCAGCATGTAAACAAACAACATGTTGTCGAGTGGCTAGAGCGAAAGTGAATGTAACTTGTCCAGGCACACGCTGTGTGTCCACGTGTTTGTGTGTGTGGGGCCAGATGTGCATGTAGTCTTCAGGCACATGCTGGTGAACGTAGGCTTTGCATACAACAGGTGTGTTGTTTGGGTAAGGTTCTACAATTGATAGAACCTATGTTCATATGAGAAATTTTATGGCCGTTCATCATTAATCGAAATAAAATGATGATTTAGAGTCGGTCAGGGCTTTTAATAGCCCTTCCCGATCTACTGCTGAATTCCGGATTGAGAGATGATCCATCCTTGTTGAACTGTCGTTGGTGCCCCTCAGCGCCACTGGGTGCCTCTGGGGAGGACTGACGTTGATCACCCTTGTCAGGTAGATTAGTCTGCTCACCAGCCGAGTCCTCTGCCAGGTACATTGTTGTCTCGGCCACTTCCTCACCCATGTGGGCATCCCCATTCATCACTGACTTGACTGAAGAAAAGCCGTCAGTAACCCAATCAACAACCGATTGTGAATTGTCAGCACTCGATGACCCCGCTTGACCAGGATGCATGAGTTCCTGCTCATCTTTGGCAGCGCCGTTAGCTTCACCTTGGACAGGTGTAGTATCCACAGAGGAGGACATTGCCGTCTCTACAATCGTAAAGGATGCAGCCCCGTTGGTCTGGCCATTGTCGCCTTGACGTTGATCAACTGCAGCAGCAGCGGTGTTACCTCCTTGGCTTGTGGTGCCTTGAGAATCCTTGACAAAGTCCTAAACCTTTAAAAAGTTGTACAGTATAATGCAAAATTGTACTTTTGGATGTAATGAACAGGCTTAGACTTATTCAAACACCCTTTTTTTTAGAATAGTGAATGTATTTGATCATGTCTGATACTTATGGTGGTATCGTGTGTAGTTACCTTAAGCCATTTGTATCATGCATTTTGAATGTTTAATTGTGCTTTTCTCATTTCAATTACATTTTTAGTTTCAATACGAATGCTTTATTTCTCTGAGCTGTCTCCAAATTTGAGCCAATAAAATCGCTTAAAAAGCTATTTTAAGTGCCGCGGACTTCGAAAATTTTTGCCATAGTTCTCCCTTGTTTTTTTGTTAGGCGGAATTTTAAACACAGCCGAATACACTAGTATTAAGCTACGTTATCATCAAAAACCCCTAAAATGCCAGAATATGCCTTACTACACACCCCAGCTTATAGTGCAAACAGTTGAGACTCTCAATTAGCACCAAGTAAGTGATACCAATCAAGTGAGGGCAGCCTATCTACCCCCAGCCTCTGAATCAAATTTAGTTGTGCTTCAACGATAGGCTTATCCACACAACGAAAAAGGAGGGTTATGGCTCAAAGAACCATAAAAAGTGGGAAATATAACAAGAGGGCATTGCTAGAATGTGATGAAGAACAAAAACATCGCAACACAGTTACATACAAAAAGGTAACATGCAATGTGTATCATCAAAATGACGAGTACAAGAAAGAAAAGAGTAGTAGAAAAAAGGTATTGTGATTACCTCATACGAAGCAAGTACACGAATACCACCAGTATTACAACAGAAGAAGTAATACTTGAAGAACAAAAAGAATGCAAGGCTACTCCACAATAGAGTAGCACTGCCAGCAATACAATGCATCAAAAGATACACCATAGCACTATGGTACAGCAACAGAAAAATAGTTGCGTGCAGAAAAGGGGGAAGGAATAAATCGCAATACAGCAAACTGAAGAAGAATGCACAGTATCACGAGAAAAAAAAAATAGTAAAAGGTTGAATGAATGTAATCCATGACAACCAAACCCATGGCAACCAAAAAAGGGGAATATACAAACCAAATACAAACCAAACACAATGAATAAATATATTGCAACGAACTGGTCTGAAATAAACTGTATAATTAGTATTACTGTATATTGTACAGCAAAAAGTGGCCTCTATCGGCTGATACCTACTGTAACAAACTTGAAAGATGTCGTCTTGGGTACTGGTGGTTGCAAGGGCATGCTTCTTTTGTCGAAATTGGTGTTGTATTCAATCAAAAGTAATAAAAAGTATATGGTTTAATAGAAAAAGTGCAGTGCAAAAACAGGGTGGAAAGGGAGCGTGAAAAAAATAAATAAAAAAAAACGCGTTGCTGAGGGTGACTGCAGTCAATAGGCTGCCGCAGCACAGAGCACACAGAATTTGAATGACGTGTACAATGAACATTTTACACTGTGGTGACTGTACCCAAATGATTTTTTTGGGATGATTTTTTTGAATCAAAATCGACATAATTTGACATTTGTAAACATTCTTGCTAAAATTAGCTATATAAAGTGTGCTCAGCGTATACTACTTTCTAATAAACTTAAGGGGAGAATTCAAAGGCGCATTCAATGTTGTCAATTTTCATGTACCTTTAGAATGAAAAGATAAAGAATTTTTAGAAAATATAAAAAGCAGTTTTTCCAAGAAAAGTCGAGATTTAGCATATACAACGTTCAAAATAACAGTTGCACAGGTTACCCTACATCTGTGCGGTCAATTTGATCTTATATATATCATAGTAAAAAGTGTCGTTTTCGCCTCCAAAAGTGCGATCGTTTGATTTTTTACAAAAACCATGAGGGGTACCTCATGAAAAATCGTGAATTTTCGACGATTCGGATCGATCTAAAAAAAATAAAAATAAAGGTTTAGGATGTAAATGGTAATCGGTAGCAATCATTTGGCACTATTCCGAGCATCTAGAAGTGCTTAGAAGACAAGAAATTGCAGGTTGAATTTGAATGATTTGGCTGAGAAAAGTACCTTTTGCATCCTGTAGATCCACGGTAGCTAGTGCTACAGATTCGATCAAGGCCTCAAATAATTGCTATCTCTTGCTACTACACACTAATTACCACTAGAAGGCAGAAAACTATGGAAACTTTGTCTATGCTTTGTTGAAAAAAACCTTAGAAATCATAGAAACCCCACTTGTCATGCTTCAATGCAGCTTCTGAAAGGCTGCCACTCAAAAATAGTGCCATCGATCGGTTGTGCATTTCAGTTTTTTTTTGTGTATTAAATGTAATGTTAAAATAACGCAATACTCACGTACAATAGAAGGGTCGTTTCATAGTACTGTATAATAATACATAAATCCAGAGGTTAGGTTAACATTAGTAAAATCTATCACACTGCATGTAAACTGTAAGAATTCGTTAATTAATGGACATCGAATCTGGCCAATGGAAAACTACTAGTTGCTATGTATGATGCTTCTTATGAACCCCTTCAAATTAAGTATACAACAGTACATACAGTATATGGACTCTTCTCTAAAGTTCATCATACTATATTATTATGGCATGAAAACACGCTTTGCCGTATTCGTGAAATGCCAAAAAAAAAAAAGCATTCAACCTGTGCTACTCTGAAAAAAAAGCATGCTAGAGCCTACCAGTTTTCAATGCAGGATTGCGCAACACCTCTTTTATCAATCTGTTGTCACAACAAACTCGTGATTAACAGATTTCCGTATATATCTTGTCAAGATCAGTGCCCAAAAATAGACTTGTTTTGAAAATCATCCATCATCCATCAATCGCAACCCATCCAATCTGAAATCCAACGACGCCATCGTCTTTCTCATCAAATTTCGTTGGAGGATCATTTCTTTTCATTCTTCCATCTTCTAAATCCGAATTCAAAATCCGAATTCAAAATCCAAATTCAAAATCCGAATTCAAAATCCAAATTCAAAGAGAAATTATAAGAGAAAAAAGAGAAAAGGGTCAGAAATAGAGAAAAGGGTTGTGAGCAATGAAGCCTTTTTATAGACATTTGCAGAGAAAATTTTTGAGACGGCTCAATTCGCATGGAAACGTTCAAACAAAGTCTGGCATGATATTTTTTCATGAGCCAAAATTTTGGTCTCCTTCAATTGACACGGCTGTTCACGAAGTAAATCATTATCAAGAAGTACGAGCTATTGCAATTGAGGTATTGGTAAACACTTTATGGTCCAAGAGATTACCTATTTACTTTGGTCAAAGCTCCACGAGAACCTTGATCTATAATATGCCGTCTAAACATTCAATAGGTGTCATGCTGATGATGACATTAATTTATTGAAAATCTCTGCTAGATATATAACACAATAGTAGATGTCAGGACACTTTATTAATAAAGTAAGTTTCAGCCAGATAATTCCATTGCACTGCTGCTCTATGATACTAACAGCACTATAGTTGTCGTAGAGACTATCAATTCTACACGCAAAGTAAGGCTGACGTTCATATGCAATGGTAACAGAACGATAGCTTTGCATTTCACCGCGGCGTTCGCATTTGTATTTGCAATTTGTCAGGATTGAATCTACCGATGCGATAGCACATGGCAGAGAGTAAAAATGTCTGATTTGGCCAAGCTAGGGAGTGCCCTCACGAAAGAACTAAAA